AATATCATGTAGTACATCGCCTCACCTCGCCTTTCTTACCATCAGCTCCTTTCGTGGTCAGCATTTGCCCGCCACTGCACGTGACGACGAGCAAGGACGGCTCGTTTTTGTTCCAGACAGTGGGTGCCAGCGAGGAAAAGAGTCGCATCTCCTCCTTCCTTCTATTGCTCTTGCTTGATCTCCGCCTCCCCCTTCCTCCACCTTTCTCCTCATGCCCTTCTTCCTTGCTTACATCAACTCATCATCAACATATTCATCGTCATCACTATCTTCACACCATCATCACCAACATAGTCATCATCGTCGTCATCAGCACGCACCAATCACATCATCAGAATCACCATCATCATCACCAGTGTCACCAGTATCATCTGCATCATGACGATCGTGACAATTATGACAATCTTGACTATCATCATCATCATCATCATCATCATCATCATCATCAACGCCATCACCACCATCACCATCATCACTATCGTCGCCATCATCACCATTATCACCAACACCAATAGCATCATCACCATGATCATCATGACCACCATCACCGTCATCATCACCACCACCATCAATAGTTCTATCACCATGATGATCGTCATATTCATAATCAGATTCATCAAGCACACCGTCATCATCAGCATCATCATCGTCATCATCATCACTCTTGTCACAACCATCAACATGGCCATCACCACCAGAATTATCATCGTCATCATCATCAACATGATAATCGCCACCATCACCATCATCATCACAGCCATCGTCATCATCATCATCACCACCATCATCAACCGCATCAATGTCATCATTACCACCATCACCACCAGCATCACCATCATCACTACCAACATCGCCATTAGCATCATGAGCATCACCACCAACATCATCATCCGCATCAATAACAGCATCATCGCCATCACGGTCATCATGACCATTACCACTAGCATCACTCGCATCAGCACCGTCACCATGATCACCATCATCATCATCATCATCATCATTGCCATCACCACCATCACCATCATCACCACCATCATCACCATCATCACCATCACTACTAAAATCACCACCCAATCACCATCATCACCATAACCATCATCACCATCATCACCATCACTTGCATCATCCGCTGTATAATAGCCATCAGTAGCACCGTCACCATCACACCCGACACTATCCTTATTACCAGTATGCTCATCATTGCCATCATCATCACCACCCCAGTCATCACCCTCGTCACCATCACCATCATCATCTCCATCCGCGTTCAACACAACACCCAGTACTCAACAGCATCCGTCTCCACCACAACACCCAGCACTCAACAGCCTCCGTTTCCAGCACAACCCTCAATACTTGACAGCATCTCGCTGTTAGAGGAAGCCTTTGTGAGGTCTGGCAAGATCCCGATCCGCCCGCCCGCCGCCTGCCCGCCGGCCCGCCGCCCGCCGCCCGCCCGCCGTGCTTCCGTGTTCAACACAACACCCAGTACTGAGCAGGATGCGTCTCCAACACAGCACCGGGTTTTCAACAGCCTCCGTCTCCAACACAACACCCAGTATTCAACATCATCCCTCTGCAAGAGAGATTCCTCAGGAGTTCGATTGAAATCCCGATTCGCCCGCCCGCTGCCCGCCGTCCGCCCGCCCGCCGCCCGGCCGCCTGCCCGCCCCCCGCTGTCCTCCCGCTGTGCGCCCGCGTTCCACACAACAGCCAGTGTTCAATACCATCCGTCTCCAACACAACGCCCTATACTTACCAGCCTCCGCTCGCCGCCCGCCCCCCGCCGTCCGCCTGCCGCGCTTCCGTCTCCAACATAGCACCTGGTACCAAACAGTCTCCGTCTCTAACACACCTGGTACCAAACAGCATCCCGCTGGAGTTATATTAAAATCTGGATCCGCCCGCCCGCCCCCCGCCGCCCGCCCGCGATGCCTCCGTGTTCAGCACACAATCCAGTTTTCAACATCATCCGTCTTCAACAGCCTCCGTCTCCACCACAACACTCAGTACTCAACCGCAGCCCGCTGCAAGAGAAAATCCTTAGGTGTTCTCTTTGAATCCCGATCCACCCGCCCGCCCGCTCGCCGCCAGCCCGCCGCCCGCCGCCTGCCCGCCGTGCTTCCGTGTTCAACACAAAACCGTGTACTCAACAGTCTCCGTCTCCAACACAAACCTCAGTACTCAAAAGCATCCCGCCGTAAGAATGAGCCATTAGGAGTTCCATCAAAATCCCGATCCGCCCGCCCGCCGCCGGCTAGCCGCCTGCCCCCCGCCGCCCGCCCCCATGCTTCCGCGCTCAGCACACCACCCAGTACTCCACATCATCCATCTCCAACACAACACCTGGTACGGTAGGTTCGTGCGGCGTTGGCGCGCCAGCGAGGCCGGCGAAGGCGTTCAAGGTTGAATTCTGCGACGCGGAGGCACCGACGGACACGGCAACGCCACTGGACCCGATTGAATTCAACCTTGAACGATCGGGGCCGCGATCGATTCAAGGTTGAACGATCGGCACGGTGTCAAAAACCCTTGCGCGCGCCGAAGCCGCACGAACCTGCCGTGCTCAACAACACCGTGCCAAAAACAGCACACGGTAGCCAACAGCATCCCGCTGCAAGAGAGAAACCCGCTAGGGGCTCTATGCAGATCCTGCTCCGCCCGCCCGCCGCCCGCCAGCCCGCCGTCCGCCCGTCGCTCGCCAGCCGTGTGGCTCCGCGCACAAGGCAGCACCCAGTACTCAACAGCATCTGTCTCCAGCCTGACCTTAAGTCGGGCGTGTCTCCCTACAGGAGGAATATTCTCCCAAACAGTCAAAGCATCGTCGGGGGACGATGTTTTTGATACTGTTTGACTATGTTTGATGTTTTTTTTGGGGGAGGGGGAATTGTTATTGTTCGTCCAACATCCCCCTGTAGGGGGACACGGCCGACCTAAACCTAACACCCTATACTCGACAGCCTCCGTTTCGAGCATCCCGCTGCGAGAGAGAACCCTTAGGAGTCCTGCCTCAGCTCCCGATCCGCCCGCCCGCCATCGGCCGCCCGCAGTCCGCCCGCCGTGCCTCCGTGCTCGGCACAGCGCCCGGCACTGAACGGCAGCAGTCTTCGGCACACCACCCGGTGCTCCGCAGCCTTCGTCTTCTGTGTAACAGCATCCCACCGCAAGAGCGAGGGCCCTTGGGAGTTCTACTGGAGTCCCGATCCGCCCCGCCGCCGTCCGCCGTCCGCCCCCCCGCGGCCCTCCCGCCGCCCTCCCCCCTGCCGCCCGCCCGCCGTGCTTCCGCGCCCAACACCGACACCCAGCACGCCACAGCCTCCGTCTCCAGCGCAGCACTCGGTGCTCAGCAGCATCCCGCTGCGAGCAAATAATCTTCGGAGCTTCCGGCGAGGGCCCGATCCGCCCGCTCGCCGCCAGCCCGCCGCCCGCCGCCCGCCCGCCGTGCTCCCGTGTTCGACAGAACACCCGTATTGAACAGCATCCATCCCCATCACAACACGCGGTATTCAAACAGCCTCCGTCTCCAAAAGAGAACCCAGTATTCAACAGCATCCCGCTGACAGGGGGAATTCATGAGGAGGCACATCGGGATTTCAATAGAACTCGTAATTTTCTGTCTTGCAGCGAGATGCTGCTGAGTATTCAATGTTGTGTTGGAGGCCCAGGCTGCTGAGTAGGCGGTGTTGCCTTGGAGACGGATGCTGTTGAATACTGCTCGGTGCGTTGAACGCGGAAGCAGGACGGGCGGGCGGCCGGCGGCTGCCGGCGGGCCGGCGGCGGCCCGGCGGCGGGCGGGCAGATCGTGATTCTCGTGTTATTCCGAAGGGTTTCTCTCTCGCAGGGGGATGCTGTTGGGTAGTGAAAGTCGTGTTGGAGGCGGAGGCTGTTGAATACTGGTGGATGTTGCGTTGGAGGCGGAGGCTGTTGAGTAGACCTTGAGGGCCTCCTTGCGGCGGCGTCCTGGGCCCCCCCCCCCAAGACTTCTTTGGTGGTTCGGGGGGGGACCCCCCCCCAACCCCTTCCAAGAACTTCAATTGAGGGGGGAGTCCCAGGAGGAGAACCCCACCCAAAACTCCTTTAAGGGGTGGGTCCCAAGGGAAAACCATCCAAAAACATCCTTTGAGGGGGGTGGGGTTCTGGGGGGACCCCCCGCCCATCCCCCAAAACCGTCCTTGAGAGGGGGGGTCCTGGGGGAAAACCCACCACCACCACCTGACCCTTCAAAAACGCTCTTTGATGGGGGTCTCTGGGGGCGGGACAATTTGCCCCCCGAGTCGTCCCGTTTCGGCTCCACATCCAGGCATCTTCTTCGATGCATGGTCTCTCCCGCGTCCGGAACACCAGCTACATGTAGTGGACTCGCCAAACCTCTTTGCCTAATCGTTCCCGCCCCCCTTCATGGCCCACTCCGATTCAATCGATCCGATTCGACTTGGATTTCGGCGTGTTCGTTCCATTTCGATGCGGAATTCCCGACGACGCTTGCAGAGCGCAGCTATGTTTCTTGGCCCAGTCGATTCCGATCCTGATCCCGTGCCGAGCTACGCTCCGACGATCCGATGCCCCGATTCGATGCTGACCGATCCTGCCGTCTCGTCCACCCCGATCCCTGCTGCCTGGACGCGGGGATGCAGGAGCAGACCACAGGAGGAGGAGGAGGAGGAGGAGGAGGAGGAGGAGGAGGAGGAGGAAGGGGAGGAGGAGGAGGAGGCAGGGGGGGTGGAGGAGGAGGAGGAGGAGGAGGAGAGGAGGAGGAGGAGGAGGAGGAGGAGCATCGCCGCTTCCAGCGTGGAGGGGTCGGGGTGGACGACCTGGCAGGATGGGTCAGCATCGAACCGGGGGCACAGGATCGGATCGGACCCGTGCGTCGAATCGGGCTGCGTTGGCACGGGGCCGAGATCAGATCGAATCGGCCGCGTCAACCGGGCGGCCCCCACTCTGCACCTGGATCCGCCGGGCGAAGGCGGGGCCGCTGCCGCCGCGCCGCCGCAGCGCGCCGCAGCGCAACCGTTTCGGCCCGCCACAGGACTGGTTCGCGGCACCCGTGCGCATTTGTAACACGAGAAATGTCAGGGAGGCCTGCTGCCCCCCCCGGAAGGAGGGAGGGAGGGAGGGAGCGGGGGAGGAGGAGGATGATCAGTGCAAACCCGAGACGCATTCACGATGTTGCAATAAACCCTCCTCCCTCTTCACAGATCCCTACACGAATTCGTTTTCAGTGCGGGAAGAGCCCCATTGGAAGATGGATGACCGTCTGAGACTCCTCAATCGTGCCAGACCGCCATGCCTGGCATGTCAGCGTCGCGAAACAACGTGAATGGTGCGTCCTGACAGTCCTAGAGCGCGCCAGAACATTATTCCTGGGACTTGAATCACACGGATACTTGAAACTGCTGCAATCTTTCAAGACGCATGTGCGCGGCGGTAAGGCCATTTCCACATTTAGAAAATCCACATGTTGAAAAGGAACAGCCCTCCATGTTTGAAGCTGGTGCAATCTCTTAGGACGACTGTGCGTGGCGCTAAGGCGAATCCACATTTTGAAAACGGGCCGCCCTCCATCCTTGACGCTGTGGCAGTGTTTAAAGACACACGTGCGCGGCGCTGAGGCGGTAATCACACTTTGACAACCGCCCGCCATCCATCATTGAAATTACAAGTTTCAACGTCAAGCTTCGGGATCATACGTGAAGAGGAAGTCTCAGGGAACACGCCCAGCCCGCCCTACCGAAGCGTCTAGGTGTGCGACAGGGAGGAGTTCTCCATTAGGGGAAGGGCTGGAGGAGGAGGGAGGATCATTTTCAGAGTTTTCTTTGGATCATGGTTCTCGGAGGCTCTCGGTGGTATCTGGAGGTTTCTGCAGGTCTGGTTGGTGCTCGGAAGCCGAGCGGCACGCGCCTGTTGTCATTCGGGATGCCGGGAGTGTTTGCGAACTATGGGTTGCATGTCGCGCCTGCGGCCGCAGGAATGGGAGAGATCGGTGGGTGCATGTCGTGCTCTCGGCCCCAGACGTGGGAGCGATGGGTAGGTGCATGTAGCACTTGCTACTTGAACGGACGGACGGAAGGCGTCGCACACGGGAATTGGGGGCGAACGGTGTGCTATTCCTACGCCCCTGGAATTTGGAGCGATGGGTATGCAGCTGCATTCCGTGCTCCCGATCCCGGATTTGGGAGCGAACGGCAGGTGCCTGCCAGCGGACGCCCACATGATAGACACCGGGGTGCCGCACGGAGAAGTCGGGTCTGAGGCCGTGGGCCACGACGACGGCACCCGTGCACCATGGGCCGCGTGCTGCTCGTATCCGCTGCGCGCCCCAAGAGCATCTTCGAGGCAGGGCTTGGCATCGCGCGGACGCGTGCGCTTTTTCCTCGGCGAGGGCCTTCGAGGAGCACCCTCGACCCTCTGGCGAACAAGCACACGCACGACACCGAAGCACAGGGACTGGACGTCCGAGCCACGGCCGGAGGGAGGCACCGACGGGCGCCCTGGCCGCAGCTCGCCGCGCCCCGGCGTCGGGGCTGCCGGGCCCCCGCCCGCGGCCGGGGGCCCCGCCGTCGGGCGCTGCGACGGCCACGCAGAACACCCGGAGGGGGGGAGCCCGAGGAGGAGCACGAGGACAGCGAGGGTCAGGAGGAGGAGGAGGAGGAGGAGGAGGAGGAGGAGGAGGAGGAGGAGGAGAGGGAGGAGGGAGGAGGAGGAGGAGGAGGAGGAGGAGGAGGAGGAGGAGGAGGAGGAGGAGGAGGAGGAGGAGGAGGAGGAGGAGGAGGAGGAGGAGGAGGAGGAGGAGGGGAGGAGGAGGAGGAGGAGGAGGAGGAGGGGGATCGAGGGAGGGAGGAGGAGGGAGGAGGAGGAGGAGGAGGAGGAGGAGGAGGAGGAGGAGGAGGAGGAGGAGGGGGAGGAGGAGGAGGAGGAGGAGGAGGAGGAGGGGAGGAGGAGGAGGAGGAGGAGAGGAGGAGGAGGAGGGAGGAGGAGGAGGAGGAGGAGGAGGAGGAGGAGGAGGAGGAGGAGGAGGAGGAGGAGGAGGAGGAGGAGGAGGAGGAGGAGGAGGAGGGGGATCGAGGATGCGGAGAGAGTGTCGGAGGGAGGCGGACGACGGCGACAACCACGGGAGGGGGATAAAGAGCTGCAGCTCGCCCGCCGGTGGCGGCGGACTCCCTTGGGCGTCGCCTGCGAAGGCCATGACTCCAGGGCCTTGCGCTCGGCTCCAGAGACCACAGAGCGACGGGTGATGTCATCCCCGCCTGCTGCTGCTCATCCTCCACCACCGTCCTCCACGTTTTCCGTCCTCTCTTGTGTCCCCCAAGCGGCGCTTGCAGGCCCCAGGAGCTTTCCAACCCAAGATCGCATTGTAGACTGGGTCATTCGAACCTTGGTGTATACGGTCAAGACAACAGGGGTTTGGGTGTGTAAGAAGAATGCGCGCGCGTAAGGTCCCGACGCGGGATTTCCTTATCGGCCCTCCTCCAGAGAGAGCCTGGTGTATAGGAGGGAATGAATTTTGACCCGAAGCGAACGCCCCATATCCCCCAGGATTTCCAAGGAGGTCCCTGCGGCCTCCAGAGCAGCCCTCACGAGGCCCACAGGGCCCCAGGGGCTCCACCATCGAGCGGAAAGCTGGGGGCACCTTGGGCCAGGCGGCCTTTAGCACCCCCCGACATGGACGCACCTCCGCCTCGCACCCCGCGGGTGCGGCGGGAGGGGGGGGGGGGAGCCGCCCCCGCGCCGGCCGCAGGCTCGCGCTGTCGCTGGCCCTTCTGGGGCTGGCAAGCGGCGGGCGGCCCTCCGCCAGCAAGGAGTCCATCTCCATGAGGCCCCCCCTCCTCAGGGGCAGCGTGCCCTGACCTTCAAGGAGGGCTAGAAGTACAGCCGGGCTGCTGAAATAAAGGGCGCTAAATGAGGAACCGAACCCCTGTTTGGCCCCAACAGCGCCCTGCGTGCAAGAGGAGGGCTAGACGAACAGCCATGGGAAGGGCCTGAGGAACATCGAGCCCCCTCCGAACCCAAATGGTTCCTTATTTCAGCGTCTTGTCTGTAGCACCAGGACCTGGACATCCGAATTCCTATCGAGGTCTTAACCCGTCCAGATGGGTTTATAGGTCTGGAGGGCTATTGTTAGCACTCTGGAAGTTCAGGGTCCCTCGGCGGCAGCGTGATGGGGCGGGGGGCCTTGGCTCTGGGGGGAACGTCAGCCACGCGCAGAGGGGGTTGGGGGGAGGGGGGAAGGCTTCTTAGAAGCACCCCCGCTTCTTAGAAGTCGCCGGCCTTCTCTGTAGATGTAGGGCCGACGCCTCCCTCTATAAGAAGTCTTCGCCCTTCCCCCCCCTTGTGCGCGCCGCCAAGAATGCCGTCGACCCCGGAGGGGGGGAAGGGGGGGGAGGGAGCTCGAGCTTCTCGGGCGTGTGCGCAGGCTCCCAGCGGTCCTCCAGCATCGAGATCAGGGTCTGGGTGATGGGGGGATGTGCTCCCCTGACCTTCCAGAGTGTGGAGAAATAGCCATCCAGACCTATCAACCTACCTAGACTACTGAAAACCTCGACAGGAACTTCGACGTCGACGTCCTGGTGCTATGATATTTTTTGGCCTTCCCGGAAGGTCAGGCTCCGGGGGGGGGGGGGGACTGCCGGGGATTGCAGTCGACCCCGGGGTGGGGAGGGGTGGCCTTAGGCTTCCGGGCGTGTGCTGCGGTCTCTCGGCGGGCTTCCAGCCTCGAGTGTTCTTTTCCTGCAGCTTCGCCTCGCCGAGAGCGCTCTGCTGCGGGTGTCCAGCTCGTCGTCCCGAGCGGCCGCCAGCGCGCAGAGCTATGACCCGACAGCCAGGGGCAACGACATGGGGGGGCGGCAGGGGAGGCAGGCTCCAGGGGGGATGGGTCGACCCCCCGGTCGCCCACGGATCGCCGATGGGGGCCCGCTGTGGCCCATCCCGCCCGGGAGCGTGGGGATTCGCGAACCTCAGGATGTATTTAGTTTTAGGGTTCCCCCCCCCCTGTTCCTTCGGCGGGGAACCAGCTCGCCCCTACTCCTGCTCCTCCTCCTCCTCCTCCGCCTCCGCCTCCGCCTCCTGCTCCTGCTCCTCCTCCTCCTCCTCCTCCTCCTCCTCCTCCTCCTCCTCCTCCTCCTCCTCCTCCATTCCTTTTCCTCATCAATAATTTCTTTCTGTCGCACCCCGGGGTCAGTTTTCAGGGCGGGCCGGGCGTCTCGCCTGAGACTTCCTCACCATTTGTGACCCTGAAGCTTGAACATTGGCACCAGTTTCAGAAATGGAAGGCGCGCCGTTTTCAAAATGTGGCTCTCGCCTTAGCGCCGCGCGCATTCGTTTCCAAGATTTGGAACAGCATCTCGGATTGAGGGCGGGTGGTCTTCAAAATGTGGCTCTTGCCTTACCGCCGCGCACATCCATTGCTAACAGTTGCAAGAGTTTCACGGATTGAGGGCGGGTGGTTTTCAAAATGTGGCTCTCGCTTTGACGCCACGCGCATTCGATTTAAACATTGGCAAACGCTTCACGGACTGAGGGCGGGTCGTTTTCAAAACGTGGATCTCGCCTTAGCGCTGCGTGCATTCGTTCAACAAGTTTGCAAGAGTTTCTCTTTTTTTTCCCCTACCTAGGCTCTGCCTAGAAGGGTTCTTACTGTCTGAGCTTAAAGGGCCGGGCAGTGGATAACGCCCCGGGCGGTTCCCCCGGCATCCGCCCCGCGGTTCCCCCAGTTACGTCTCCTTAGTTTAGCGTTGCTTATCTCATCTTAGCTTAGCTTATTGCATCTTAGCTTAGCTTAGTTTCATCGTAGCTCATGTTTATCTTAGCTTAGCTTACCTTCATCTTAGCTTCGCTGAGCTTTAGCATAGGAGAGCACAGCATATCATATCATAGCATAGCGCAGCACAGCATATCATAACATAGCCCAGCATAGCACAGCATAGCGCAGCATAGCATAGCATAGCATAGCATAGCATAGCGCAGCACACCACAGCATAGCACAGCGCAGCATAGCATAGCAGAGCAGAGCAGAGCAGAGCATTGCATAGCAAATCATAGCCAAGCATAGTATAGCATAGCATAACATAGCGCAGCATAGCATAGCATGGCATGTCATAACATACCATAGCATAGCATAACATAGCGCAGCTTAGCATAGCATATCATAGCATATCATAGCTTAGCATAGCACAGCGCAGCATGACATCGCATAACATATCATAGCATATCATAGCATAGCATAGCGCAGCATCGCATAGCATAGCATAGCATACCACAGCATAACATAGCATATCATAGCATAGCATAGCATAGCGCAGGATAGCATGGCATAGCATAGCATAGCATAGCAACTCATGCTGCTGTCCTAGGGACTCCAACTTCTAGGTCGGGTCGCACTGGGATTATTCAAAATATTGTTCTCACCTGAGTGTCGCGCACATGTTTTACCATCTAGGAGTTTTACGGATTCCTATGGTCAACGTACCAGAATTTGCGGTTTGGAAGGATTTGGGATTCTGAGAGTGCAACGGTTACCTTGATTCGCGGTGTTGAAGTCCCAGGAATGGCGTTCTAGCGCGATTCAGGATCGCCCACGCGCAAGAGTCAGGTTGATCAGTTGCGTTGGAATTCCCAAGAGCACTATTTTGGCATGCTTCCGGGTCTTCAGACGGTTGTTTTCCAACGAGGCAGTTCCTGCAGTAGACATGAACCGTGCGTGGTAGGGGCCTATGAAAAAGGAGCTTGGAGGGATGGTTTATTCCAACATCGTTGATGAGTCTTGGGTTTGCACTGGTCCTCCTCCTACCCCTTCCTCCCCATCCTCTTTCCCCTCGTCCTCCTCCCCCCCTCCTCCTGCTCCTCCTCCTCCTCCTCGTCTCATTCCTATCGCGGAGGCCCGTCACCGATCTATCGGCGATGTGTGGCCGACTCCAGGTTGGTGCTCCCTTCTTGAGCCGGCCCCCCCTCGAACGCCGCGCCCCACCTCTCCGCGATAGATCGACGGCGCGCAGACCTCCAGCGACGTGATTATTTTTCGTCCGGCGTGCTTATGTTCCCGCTCTCGGCCTCGGGAGCCCGGCGTCGGGCCGCGGGGCCGTCGAGAATGGAGCTGCGAGTGTCCTGACCCTCCAGAGTATTGAGCTCTTGGACTGCCAGGAGCCTCGACTGGAGTTTAGATGTCGAGGTCCTGGTGCTATCTCCCAACCTTCCTGTGGTGCTGGGTCTTCGTCTTGAAGAGACAGCGCCCCGCGTTCCTCTCTCCTCCTCCCTCCTCCCTCCTCCCGTCACCCCCCTTCCTTCTGGCACACCCCTCACACGTTTTGTGGTCCCATAACGAGCTCCACCGAAGGTCCCAGTGTCGCAGCCCGCATGCGCCTCCCCCCACCAAGTACAGCGCTTCGTGGCCTCATAGGTAGCTCCACCGAAGGTTCCAGTTGCGCAGCCCGCATGCGTCTCCCCAACCCACTCCAGCGTTTCGTGGCCCTACACTAAGCTCCGCCGAAGGTCCCAGTGTCGCAGCCCGCATGCGTCTCCCCCACCGAGTACAGCGTTTTGTGGCCCTGTAGGGAGCTCCACTGGAGGTCCCAGTTGCGCAGCCCGCATGCGTCGTCCCCACGCAGCACAGCGCTTCGTGCCCCCATAGGGAACTCCACCGAAGGTCCCAGTGTCACAGCCCGCATACGTCTCCCCCACCCAGTACAGCGTTTCGTGGCAGGGAGCTCCACCGAGGGTCCCAGTGGCGCAGTCCGCATGGGTCTCCCCGGCACGGTACAGCGTTTCGTGTCCCTTTAAGGGGGTTCCACCGAAGACGATATCTACAACTGCGGTGTTCACATCTGCGCATGGTCGGGTCCTTCGCCAGGCTATATTTTTATACCCGCCAGGCTCAATTCCGCTCGAGATCAATTTCGGGCGGGTGATATTGGGGGAGACTTCAACGGGGGTTCGAGAAAAGGGCCCTGATGGGGCACTTTCGGGCCGCTTTTGGGACCAGCGGGGCCCAGAAGTTGCCCGAAAGGGTCCCTTTTGGGGTCTTTTTCCCCATCCTCCACAGAAGTCGCCCCCCACTACCACCCGCCCGAGCTGGGACTGGTGGCCGAAAGCTCTGGGGCCCGGCGCCGGACAGAGCACGCCGCCGCACGTCTGGGGCCGGGAGGGTGGCGCGGAGGGGGCGGCCTTCGGTGAGAGGGCGAGGGGGCGTCCTAAGAGACGGGGGCCTCCTCAGGTATTGGGCGTCGCGTAACAGGGGGGCGATGCAGGGGGGGCAGCGAGGGCTGCAGAAAAAGGGCTCTTTTAGGGGCCCATCAGGGGTCCTTCAACGGCCCGAAGAGATGATCTTTCTTCCCCCCCCCCCCCAGTTATCGCCCCCATTGGGCGACGCCCAACAGAAAGGCCCAGAGGCTCCTCAGAAGGGGATTTCGCTGAAGATCAATCCCTAGACCCTGGGCCCTTCCAGGGTCGATCGGATATAGTCCGTATGAAGATGTTTGAGTTATGTTGCGCTTGCGGTATGCCAACGTAGGTTGAACTTGCATAAGTGCAGCTGTACTCCTATAGCCTGGCATGCAAGTATGACAACGAAACTAACTCCAACAACCGAGATGTCGAAGTTGAGCTAGAATTCGTGTCAGAGTTGTTTGGGAGGTGCTTGTTTGGCGGTCGAAGTTGTCGAAGTGATGTTTTTCGCGGTCGAAATTCGGTTCTTACTTTGTCGAAATTGTCTAATGTAGCTGCTTTCATAAACCGTTCCTTCCAGCGTCTCGTGCTGCCCCCCCCCTTCTGGCGCTTGCGCAGTTCGCTTTTCGCTGCTCCTCTTCCCTCCAGCGGTTTGCGCTC